TATCATCGTGGCGACTGAAACATGAGGTGCAACATATGGTGCAACACATTCAGTTGCCTGGAAACATCGAACCCGAGAGATTTAGCTGGGTTCCGGGCGAGTCTCTCGCAAAACCTAATTTGTTCGCTGATTGACACGGGTTATTACTGTAGCCAGAAAACAAGAGAATTACGTTGGCACGCAACAGTTAATGGCAAGTTAGCTGTTGTGGGATCAGTATGTGCCATGACCATAGAATTAGCACTAAATAAAACTTTAACCTTTGCATATTTATGGTTCAATAAAATACCCAGTTTCAATGAACGATAAGGTGCCTGGAGCTCAAGGGGACAAAGTGCTGTGGTTTTATGATTCGAGAGGACGTTGGGAATTACGGCTTTACTATCCAAAATGCCATGCGGAAAGTGGAATTCTCTCAGACCTAACGATGTCATAGTGTAGGACTCTTCTGATTTCGTAGTCGGAGATTTGACATTCCTGATAGTTGACAGCACCTCGTGCTCTGTGGGCTCCTGCTTGCTTTAATTTTCGCCAGTCCCATCGACACAGCTTGTCCACCCAAAAATTCCGATAGACTTTTCTGTCCAACAGTCGGAAGTGTATCATCGCTTGCTCGCTGTTACATCACTCAGTCCTTTGCTCACAAAAACCTCATCCACCTATCGTCAGACTAAGTGTACCGAATAGGTCTGTCCACTCTAACCAACACAGTCCGAGCTTACGTGGTTCGCCCACCGGCACGATATGTTCGGCATGTTCATCTGACAACGTAAGCACCCATCACAATGACAGCCAGTTTTTGGGGCTGTGTTGGGGCTCTTTAAACCACGTGTCTGACGCCAAAGACAAAGGAGCTCACGCATTCTGCTGGCCTATTGGCTTAGCAGTTGTCCAATCAGGTTTAAGCACGTGACTGCATCGCGGCCCACCACACATGGAGCCTATTGGTGAGGTATGTGTCAACCCGACAACCTTCAGCAAAAGGAGCTTGAATATATCGGAGTCGTATTGTGCGTTTTCGGTCAAATTATTACGGTTACAGTGGAGCTGACCAGAAGTTGTACTTAAACCCACCCAATGTACGTTGAATATACGCGAGGCATGTGTTTCATTAATAATGAACAAGTTTTTGGACAGTTGCCCTTTGTAGAGGAAAATCGGTTCCAGGCTTGTCGGTGAAGAGAAACACACGATTACAAGACAAGACAGATGCTCAGTGCATAATTAGACTTGTTCTATTAAATAAATATCACCTCCGGATGGATTTTAATGACTGAATGATTACATTTCTAAAGTACTCAACTTGATCGGCGTTTTTTTATTGTGATTGTTGAGTGTTCATATGTACAAGTCGCCGCGTTAGAAATATCTCATAAGTATTTCTGGAAAAATGGTTAGAACCCGAAATTTCCAAACTGAAAAACTCGCGAAAAAAGCCACGATTCCATCGAAAACAGGGTGTAAAGGGACGATTCCGAAACATCTCACAAGAAAAATGTACTCTGATCTACTAAGATTTTATAGGCAATCAATGAAGTGAATGAAGTGAATTTTGAATCATATATGTTTACTGACCCCTCTATTGAAGGCCTGCTTCGAATTTATTATTATTTATTACGCCAGCTAATGCACATTTTCAGTTTATAGCCTTTTGTACTCAAAACATCTGGTAAATTGTGTACCTCGATCGACCGATCCAACCCGGGCTACTGTGCGCTTATGATATTGGCAACAAGGGCACGGCAGTGCGTGGGTGCCACATCCAGACTTCCCGTGATCACCTGCCAGCTATTCTTCAAGGTCATTTATTCGTTGTCGATAGCAGAAGTTTCGATCCAGGGGCTGTGTGACAGCAAGCAACATCTGGTATTAGATCCTACCAGACCTCACTGTTTAGCCGACGTCGATAGATAGGGAAACTAGGCGACAAGACCTATTACCAGACCTCACTGTTTAGCCGACGTCGAGAGATAGGGAAACTAGGCGACAAGACCTATGGGGAACGATTTAAAACTGTACGTTGCTCGACTAGACTTCAAGAGTGCGTTTGGTTCTGTTGATCGATCAGTTCTGTTAACTCTACTTCCTCAACAGGGTATGCCCCAGAAGTTTGTAAACATGATCCGATCCCTATATTCATATACTTCTGGGAGGGGGAGGGTGTATGGTGAGCTCTCCAAAAGCTTCC